ATTGCTGGGTAACATGACAGTTCTATTTTTAACTTTTTAAGGAGCCTCTGTATTGTTCCATAATAGCTGTACTAATTTATATTCTCACCAACAATGTACAAAGTTTCCCTTTTCTCCATGTTCTCATCACACTTGTTAATGTTTGTCTTCTTGTTAACAGCCAATTTTTGATATCTTGTGGTTTTAATTTAATTTCCCTAATGATTGATAATCACTTTTTGATACATCTGTTGGCAAATTTGTATATCTTCTTTTGAGAAGTGCCTATTTACATCTCTTGCCCATTTTTTAATTGGGTTGTTTTCTTACTGAGAAATTTGAGTTTCTTGTATATTTTGAATATTAACCCTCTTATCAAATATATAGTTTATAAATATATTTCCTATTGCATGTGTTGTCTCTTCACTTTGGTATTTCCTTTACTCTGCAAAAGCTTATCAGTCTGACACAATCTTATTTGTCTATTCTTGGTTTTGTTCCCTATACTTGGAGGATCAAAACGAAAAAAATTTTAAAAATCCTCATGGAGACAAATGCCATAGTGCTTTCCCTCATGTTTTCTTCTTGTAGATTCATAGTTTCAGGTCTTATTTTTCCATTTGGGGTTGATTTTTGCATACACTGTGAGATGAAGGTTAGTATTCTTCTGGATATGGATATCCAGCTTTCTTGGTGCCATTTATTAAAGAGGGTATCCTTGCCTTGTAGTATGTTTTTGGCATATTTGTTGAAAATCAATTGGCTATAAATGTGTGGCTTATTGTGGACCTTCTGTTCTGTTTTCAGCAGATCTGTACCATCTTACATTCCCACCTGTAATATGTAAGGATTTCAATTTCTCCACATTTTCACCAATGCTTACTATTTTCTGTTTTTATTTTAAAATTGTGACCATCACAGTGGGCGTGAAGTGGGATCTCAATGCGATTTTGACATTCATTTTCAGAATAATTATTGAACATACTTTATATGCATGTTAGATATTTGTGTACTTCTTTGGAGAAATGCCTCTTCACACATTTTGCCCATCTTTCAATTGGGTTATTTCATTACTGATGATGAATTTTCAGAGTTCTTTATATATATATTTTGAATATTATTTCATTATCAGATGTATGATTTGCAAATGTCTTCTATTCTTTGAATTTCTTGTACTTTTTTTATAATGTCCTTTAATGCACAAAAGTTTAAAATTCTGAATAAGTCCAACGTTTCTACTTTTTTCTTGTGTTTCCTTGTACTTGGTGTGATATTAAGAAGCTGCTACTATATCTAAAGTTATTAAGAGTGCCATTCTGGTTTCATCTAAGAATTTTGGTTTTAGATAAACTTAGATCTTTGATCCACTTAAAATTGTCTTTTGTGTATGTGTAATGTAAAGATTCAGCTTGGTTCTTTTATACATACCTCTCCAGGTTTTCAAAGCAATATTGTTGTTCAAAAGATTGGCCTTTATTCATTGAATAGTCTTGACACTCTGCTTGAAAATCAATTTAGATATATGTGAGGATATTTTTCTGAGTTCTGCATTCTGTTCCATTGGTTTATATGTCCATGCCAGTTCTGTACTTTTTGGGTTACTATAAACTTGCAGACTAAAAGGTGTGAATTATCCAACTTTTCTTCTTTTCCAAAACTATTTTCTTTTGGGTGGGGATGCTATTCTGGGTCCCTTAAAATTTCATATGAATTTCAGAATGGATTTTTCTATTTCTTAAAAAAAAAAACACCCCTACGGTTTTAATAAGGAATTGCACTGAACCTGTTATTTCTTTGGGTACAGTGCTACCTGTCTTGGTCTGTTTGTACTGCTATAACAAAATTGAGACTGAATAATTTGCAAAGAAGCTTTGGTGTCTGCTGAGAGGTGCTTTTTACTTTCAAGATGGTATCCTGTTTATTAGTTGTCCAGAGACTATAGATGAATTGGCTTCACGTTGTTCTCTAACATTCCCTCAAGACCTTTGATAAGGAATCTAATTCCATCCATAAGGGCTCCCCTTTATGACTTAATCATTTCTTAAAGGCGCCATCTCTCAGTACTGTCATTGGTTATTAAATTTCAACCCATGAGTTTAGGGGCAAACAAAACATAATGGCATCTTAAAAATTCCAAGCCTTACAATTGACAAACACAGGATGTCTTTCTACTTATTTAGGTCTTCTTTTACTTCTTTCAGTAATGCTTTGTGGCTTTATGTGCAAAGTCTCTCATGTCTTCGGATAAATTTACTCTAAATATTTTACTATTTTTATTCTATTCTAAATGGAATTGTTTTTAAATTTCCTTTTTATATCATTAGTGTATATAAATACAAGTCTTTTTGCATGTTGATTTTATACACTGCCATTTTGTAAAGACACACTTTGCAGAGACTACCATGTATTTTGTATCCTGATCTGAAAATTAAGAAAAGTGAATACATTTCCCATCTTAGTTACTTTCTCTCATTGCTGAGACAAAATTCACTCAAAATTAAAGGAAGAAATGTTTATTTGGCTCACAATTTGTAGAGGTTTCAGGTCATAGTTGTTCAGCTCCAAATAAGGGTGGCATGTCAGAGAGGCATCACAGAAGACAAGTAGGAGCAGAACAAGCAACAGGTGACCAGAGACAAGACCACAGCTCTTTCTGTCAGTTCTATCTTTCCCTGAGGGCAAGTAGTACTCACACTCTTAAACCTATCATTGTGAATCAATCCCAGCATCATGTTTTTGATCCCAGTAGCACAAACACTAGATCCAGCCTCCTCAAAGCCCCACCTATGATTGCATGAGGCTTTAGTGGGGCATCTAGACACAAGCCATAACATTCCCCCTACTCTTTTATGATGGATATACATTAAACTTTTGCCCTAATAGTCTGAGTCCAGAGCCCTACTACTTTATATCTATTGTGTACTTTATTTCAACTATTTAATATTTTTAATAATATTGTACTTGATTCTTTGTTAAACTTTCTGATGTTCACTTGAAAACATCTTCATTTATTATGTCAAGGCCTATTTATGATGCTAACTCTAACTTTGTGGTTGATGTGTTCTAATAATTCTGCTTCAGATGGAATGTGTTGTATATTCAGTTTGTTTTGCTTTTACACAGGAATTATATTCCTCAAGTATTTGGTTATTTTGGCTTTTGAGATTATGTTACTCTGGGTGTATAAACTACTCTATTGAAGGGCTGTCCTAATTTCTTTCTTGTTGCTGGGAAAATATACTGGACACCCAAATTAAAAAATGTAATGATTTATTTTAGTTCACAGTTTGTAGACATTTCTTCAGGAAATCAGCTTGAAACTGCACCGAGAAGGCTTTAAAATATTATTGAATTGGCTTATAATTTGGCTATTGATTAAAACTGAGTCAATCCAAGACTTATGTATAACTTGCTGAGTGAGCCTTCATCTGGTGTATGGAGACAGAATTCCTGATGTCAACAACAGAGATTTCAATGATCAATGAGTTTGTGATGTCTCTAATAGCAAGATGACACTACAGCTAAAATATTATAACTGTGTAGCCATTCTCCTAGATCAAACATTAGCTAAAGATAACACAAGTGGCTTGTTAACTGCTACCTGCAAGATAGCACAGGTGTGTTAGTAACTGTAACCCGTCCTTCATAAAAATGCAATCATTCCTCCCTTTCACAGCGTGTCTCATTCATGCCTTAAGTCCTGCTATTACTTACATCTGCCTTTATGCCAACTGCTAGGTTGTATGATCATAAATACTGACAAATCCAGATCTTGGGGTCTTAGCCAGGAAAGAGCTATGATCATGTGGTCTTAGAAGAGTGCCAAGATCATATCCTGCCCCAAGAAATAAAGAAATGCTTGTTCTTTATTCTTTGTGTTTTATATATCCTTTGTTCTTTCATCCTCTGCTGTACCCTCCATGGGATGATTGGCTGTCCCCTGATAACTGGTCAAGAATCACTCAATAGTTTTAGTCCATAGTTGGATGGATGCAAGGCAGCGTGGCATAGCAGAGGGGCATGCCAGCTCACGGTAGGGAGGGAAGGAAGCAGTGGGCCTTCCTTTCCTTTTTATCCCATCCAGGATGGTGGATAATGGGTCTTCCCATTATCCACACTCAGAACTGTGCTAAACCAATCAGTGGATTAATTTAGTTATCACACTTAATCCAATATCACACACTCATGATCCAGCCACTCCCAAAAGTCCCACATAGGAGTGCATCAAGCTTTGGGAGACATCTTAGTTATAAACCATAACAAGAGCAACAGGCAGAGATAAATTTATTCCAGTGGTATAAGTAAAAGAGAAGAGATAACTGCCAAGGCAGATAGTGCTATTAGCAATCATCAATGAAAACAGAAACACAGAGAATTCTCAACTTCCCTGCATTTTTCTTTAACAATATTTGTGTTTTAAGGGTAAGGAAATTATAAATTCATATATTCAGAAAGCTCGTCTATAACTGTCTCTATCACTTTATCTATCACAAAATGTTTTTATGTAGCATTACTATTGCCTTACAGACACGTCAACAGGGATCTTCACATTTGCTTCTGATTTCTGGCCTAAAGAGGAAATTAATGCTTGCCTCAAAATACAGCAAAGAAGAAGGATCAGATTGAAAGTCTCTCATCCAACTTCTCCTGGCATTGAAATCTCAGACTACTTTCCTGTTACCAGCTGCATCTACACATCATCTCTTCGCATGCACACACACACACACACACACACACACACACACACACACACATCGACCAAAAACCACTGTTATCAGCAGATCCCTCTGCTTCACTGGGCTCAGTCAAATAGAACTGTCATTTGGCTTCAGGAGTCTTAAGGAAACCCTTGAAGGAAATGTTGGCTGATACAAAACATTATTATTCTAGAAAAATATTTTTCTTTTATTCCTTGAAATCTGAATAAGAAAACAAGAAACTGCGTAAAGTCTTTTCTCTCATTTTTCCACACCACACAGAATCAACTTTATTACTTCATCAGATCTTTTTATGTATATATAAAGGATTATCATTTGGGAAATAGAAGTGGGTAAGAGAGACTAAAGGCCAAGGAACCATAGGACTGGATGGACATTAAGATAGGGCAAATATGAAAGATTCCAGTTCCCAACGTGCAATAGGAACAATCATTGTGTGATCCCCAGAGTTGTGTGATGGACAATTCTGGACACCACAACTGTACAGCTTTGGGTGCAGTCTGTCCACCAGAGGTTTGTAAGAAGGTCAAGAATACTTGAAAGCATGTAGAGACAGTGAGCTTTGGGGTTGAGAGGCCAAGCTTCTTAGATGGTCACACTGTTTTCCACCTTGCTGGGTTGAAGGTACTCATACGGCAGGTCCAGCTGTGCATTCCGGATCTCAATCTCCTTGTCCATGGTAGCCAGCTCCTCCTGGAATTGCTTCAGCACAGCCTGGGGCCCAGGATCTGAGAAATATTTCTCCTTATGCTGCCCCAGAGCTACCTAGAGTGGGGCCAAGATAGCTCAGAATTTGGGTTTCTCAGCCAAGAACACTGCCCCTCCTTCAAACTGCCCCACACCCTCCATGAACTAGGCATCTCCTTCTAACCATGACAGGTTGGTGTCTGCCAAGAAACTGGACAAAAGTCTTCTGCATACGGGCTTGTTGGAGATTAGGCAATGAGTCCACTACGTCCTTCTCTGTCACATCCTTGGAGGTGGGTGGGGGCTTCCGCATGGTGCATGGACCATTAGGGATCCAGGAGTACCAGTCCAGCTGAAGGTAGGACAGCCACACAGACTCTCAAGTTAATAGCCCAGACATTTGGACACACTCCCCCAGCCCATTTTCCACATCCCTGGACCCAGGGAACATAGGTTACCTGGCCAAGGTGGGCAGAAGCATGCTGACCAGTGCACGTGAAGATACACATGGTGAGAAAGTGACAGAGTTGAGCCCGGGACTCTAAGCACAGGGGGAACCTGGGTGAAATGAGGAGAGTGAGAAAACCCAAGACCAGGACAGGAGGCAGGCACGTCTAGACCAGGGGATGATATCTGGGGAGAAATAGAAGAACTTGGTGTGGTGGGCCTCTAGAGTCTATCATTCACACATAGTAAGCACTGAAACATGCATTTGGCAGCTATTGTTAAATGATAAGAACAAGTAAGAGAAAATGACTGATGAAATCATGCATCTGATTCCAGAGAAAGTTCATAGTGTGTGAGCAGAGAGAATGTTGTATGGGAAGATGAAGAAGGAGAGGAGCTGGAGAGATCAGGAGTGATTGTTAGGATTTTGTAAGCACTGGAGGATCAAAGAATACTCAGCATTTCAAGAGCGTCTGCTGATGTAGGAGAGGAGGATTGCTGACAGCTGGTGGGAGCTGAGATAAGGTCATGGTGGAGGATCCCTGCTTTACCCTCGGTCCTGGGCCCCCTGCAGTCCAATCTCAGTGATTTCTCTACACCACACCTGCAGCTCTGGGTCACACGTCACAGCTTCGTCACTCTTGTAGAAAAGCCCAACCATCCCATTCACATACCTGTTCCCAAGAAAAGAAGGAGCTCAGTGTCAGGCAGCCAATGTAGGACCTACAGTGCCCCCTCATTCTCTCCCTCTCTGTGTCACCCTCACCGACTGATGATTCCCCACAGCCTGAGGGCATCTTGTCCATAGAGACAAGATGTCACATCCAAGAGTCCACGGTCAGCCAGGTCATCGGGAGGACAGAAGGAACGATAAGTTAAATAAGACACAGCTCTCTGGAGAATGTCCACGTGGCCTCCACTACCTGTACTCACCACCTGAAAACAAACTAGGGTTAGTTAAACCATGTAAGAGTGAGAGAGTGAACCAGGAGGTTATTCAGTTGTGGGGCAGATCATGGAGAGGGCTTTGGTAGAAGACACAGAACTTGGGGGAGGACTGGGTAAGGGGAACCTCTTTGGAGTTCTTCTAACTTTGAATCCACCTCCCTCTTCACACATTCATTTCCATACCAGATCAAAAATTCCATATTCAGAGACAAGAGTACTCCGGGCCAAGGTGTTGATCTCCATGGTGTAGTTAAAGTGGGGGATCAGGAGCTGATTGTGAGGGAAAGAAATGGAACACAAATAAGAGATCTCAGAACCCAAAATGGAAGGATAAATTAAAGCACCGGTCACATGAAGAAAAAAGAGAAGGGAGAGGGTGAGTGTTGCTGAGGGGTAAGATTGGGGAGAAAGAGCTGCAAAACTATTTCCTCAGGGTCTTCCAAGATCAGTTTTAGGAGTTCGCTTATTTGCACAGTCTCATACTCTGTGTCAGCATTATAGGCATTCCTGATCTCACATCACAAAATCAAGCAGGCTCTCGATGCCTGAGCCCACCCGCTTTGTGCTCCTGCACTTCCTTCCACCACTTCCACCGTACAAATATGCTCGACATCCCGTACCCTACAGAAGAAAACCTTTCTTGGCTCATTCCTCTTCAGCAGGCCTTTAATCTCAATTCCCCTTTCAAAAAGTCTTTCGAAACTCCTGTGTCACCTCTAATTCCTCACTGCAGATTCTGTTCAGCCCACACCAAGCAGGCTTCCACTGCCTGCCCTTCACGGAGATAGCCCTTGTCAGTGTATTCACCAGTGACTTCCATATTGACAAATGCAGACTCTAATTGTGTGATACCGATTCAAGGCATTTTAGACAGAAAACCATTCCTGCTCTTGGAATAATTTCTTCTCCTTGTTGTGATTCACATTTTTTTTTTTGTTTCCCCAAACCTCAATGGATGTCCCTTCCTTTGATCCTTTTCTTACTTCACTTTTCCACTCAATTTCTAAACATTGAGTAAACCTAGAATTACATGCAGGACCAAATGTTCTGCTATATCTACAAAGCCTACAAAACTTTATTTAGTGCAATGGCTTTAGATACTTCTATTTTCTGATAACTCTAAAATCAGTGTTGACCTCATCCAGACTTACCAGGCCCATATATCCTAGCTGCTCTGCTGACATTTCCAAATGGATTTCTGTAGGCACTGGAAACTCCACGTGGTCAAAATTGAGCATTTGCTTCTCTACACCAAGTAATATAATTCTCTCTCCTCCCTTCCTTGTCTGTGTCACCTTGCACTTCCTTCCCACCTTATACTCACCCTTACCTATACCTGATTTCATTCCTCACCTCTATATATTTCTCTGACTGCCATGTCCCCACCTCTTACTAGCTGCCTGACAACTTCCTCAGTCCTACTTTCAACTCCTTTGTGAAACCTCTTTCTCCACCTCATAGAAAATGTGTGCCTGGGTGTTTCCATAGCATATTCCTCTGTGTGTGTGTGTGTGTGTGTGTGTGTGTGTGTGTGTGCGCGCATGTGCACACGTGCGAGTGTGTAGATATAAACTAAGACTGCTCCCAACCTAACCCAATATACTACAATCTTAGACCCTGCAGAGAGTAGGCATGTGAAGTAGGAAATGTAGTCAGATGCCAAACGACGAAGTTTCCGAAATACCTTGTAGATGGGATGCAGGCTGGGCAAGCTCCTCATTGTGGCCACAGAAATAACCTCAGCCACCAGATGTCCCCTTAGCAGGTGGGACTGTAACTGGTGCACCTGGAAATCAGAACTACGGACCCATATTTTGGCCAGGAGCCAGGCCATGGGAGGATCTGAAGGCAGGAAGAGCAGAGGTGGAGGGCTTCCATGTCGAGGCGGTTGGAGCTACACAGGAGAGAGAATGGGAGCTGAAGACATGTGAGTCTAAGTCCCCAAAGGAGGTCAATACATGGGAAAAGATAACTGGGTGCTTTTACCTGAATGACCATAGGTAACAATTTCCCATCTGGCTGTAGCCTCAGCATGACCAAAGGGGCTGCCACATATTGCTGCTGAAAAATGATGACATTTGGCTTAATCCCATCCAGCAGGGAGAAATCAGCTTCAAACAGAGTTCCAGCCTGTAGGGACAGGAGCAGGAACAAAGAAAGATGTTGGAGTCACTTTCCCATTTGACAATGTGGATCTTTCCTCAATCCTTGCATGTAATTAGCAGAAGGAGGAACAAAGAAAGATGCTGGAGTCACTTCTGGATCTTCTTCCATTTGCCTAGGTGAATCTTTCCTCAGCCCCACCAAGTCCTCTGTTTTAAGTAACCATTACAAAGCAAAGCTCCAAGGCTAGGGATTTAGCTCTGTGGTTCCCCTGCCTGCCTTGCAAGCACAAGGACCTGAGTTAATTTCTGAGTTCTTTTCCCTGTATCAAAAAAACAACAACCACTGCAACAACAACAACAAAAAAACTGAATCCAAGGTTTAAGATTCAATTTCAAGCTCTGTGAGTTGAAGTTTCTGGTTTTCCACCATAAACTACCACTCCCAACCAATGTCTTCTCTCCTCTGCAGCATTACACAAATATCACAAAAGATATTTCTTTTAATTTTTCCCTTCCCGCAAAATAAGTCTAGCTATCTGAGGCTTATTTTCAGTCTTTCTTGTGGCTCCTCTACAGAAGCTTGAGTTGTGAAAGCTCAGGCTGAAATACATTTCACTAGAAAGGAAGAAATGAAGGTGGACAAGAAAGAGGGAGAAGAAAAGGAAATTCAGGGAAGATTGGTTGGATCACAGTTCTCAACTAGAGGTGATGTGTGCCCCCCCCATTTGGCAATGTCTAGAGACACTTTTGGTGTCACAACTGGGGGTGCTATTGGTATCTATACAGTTATAGCCAAGGATCAGTAGTAAAATCCTGTACTGCACACGACAGTGCCCTATAACAAAGAATTATCTGGTGCCAAAGTGGGGAAGTCTCCGGTGTTGGATCACAGTTCTCAACTAGAGGTGATGTGTGCCCCCCCCATTTGGCAATGTCTAGAGACACTTTTGGTGTCACAACTGGGGGTGCTATTGGTATCTATACAGTTATAGCCAAGGATCAGTAGTAAAATCCTGTACTGCACACGACAGTGCCCTATAACAAAGAATTATCTGGTGCCAAAGTGGGGAAGTCTCCGGTGAGGTAGAGGAGAATATAGAGGAGATG